AAACTGTTTGGTGACACTGCTAGGTATCTGTGAAAAGAGGTTAGTAGGTTCAATGGTAATGCTTTTGCTTCAGAACTTAGAGAGCCAGCTCAATCAAAACAAAATAAGTTATTTGTATAGCACAGCTAACTGGGTAGAGAAATGGCAGGCTCGAGCCAACATTCTGAAAATAGGTTTCCACCACCCAATTACTCATCAAATTTGAACCTGAGCAAAAAGAAAACTCCAAAGGTAGGAAGCCTTCACAAGTATTTGCATGTCCCTCCGCCTCATCCATCAGGACCATGTAAATTTGCCTCTCAAACCCCAACTCTCTGCTGAAAGGAGGAAAAATCTCCAGCATATTCGGAAGGGTGTCATTAGTTCCTGCCCTAGTGGAATTTGGGATCCTGGGGAAAAGTCCGTCATAGCCCTACCTTATAAGGCGTGCCAACCCAAACTGGCAAAAATCAGTATCCTATGTTTTCTCTCTAAACAGAGAATTATTGTGGATATCTCCGCTAAAATAGCATAAGTGGTCAGCCCAGTTTGTTGGAGAAGGGGAATGAGGACTGGTCAGCCCCGATTAGCATGCAAATGTGCTAGACTTCAAGTAGCCACTCACAAAGAGGATGACACAGATGCACTTTGATCCCTGTCCCTAGAATCCAGCCCCCAGGCAATGGCAGTCATTCCTCCCCACCCCTGGCGCACACACAGCTGTGCTGTGGTTGCATTCCAAAAAAGCAGTTGAGGCAGGGAGAGGCCAAGAAGGGCCACGCCCTGCGCTTTCAGTTCCCAGCCTGGCCTGGGGAGCTCCAGCACAAGGGAACCCCAACACAAGCTGTCAACAGCACAGGCCTAGAGGTAGCTCCCGCTGGTTGGCTTTGCTCCCTTCCAGGTGAGCGGGCAAAAAAGACAGCTCAATCCAGAACAATCTGCCACCCTGTCACAGAGATCATTTCAGATTTAGCCTCTTTGGGGTCTCAGGGTGGATTCACATCACCAGCCCCCAAAAGGGGGGCTCTGGGAGCCTGTCATAGTTGCTCTACTTCAGCTCTAGGCCTGCAAACACCTGTTTTCAAAGGCAGCAGGCTTGTGAAGACTGGCCCCGAAAGCTGCACCTTCCACCTCTGTCTCTCCTACCCAAAGCCCCCCTCAAAAATGTATCCTTGTCTTTTAAAACAAAGTTTATTTCCCATGCAAGGTTGTGGAGGAAATTAGAAAGGACATTGTCACTTTTCTTTTATCTGAGGAAAGTGTTATGTGTTAAACTGAAAACTCATGATGTGAATATAATGAAAAGTTACCCCTCAAACACAAAGGATGTTTTATTTTTAATATTTTATTTCCAATTGGTTAGCTCTCAATTGAAAGCATTTCTTCTGCTCTTCTGACTTTTATGGATAGTCTCTTTTTATAGTTCTCACTCGTATTTCACAAGCTAGTCTGGGGACACACCTAAAGCACTTAACTCATGACAGTCAGAGAAAGAGAGAAGCTTCCCTAAAGTGGCTTTGATCCTCTGTGTAGAAATTCAGCCCAGAGAATGCTGACTACAGAGTCTCTGTCTTGACTCCATTTGGCTTTTTGTCTAAATTTAATAATTTAAAGATAACTTTTAAATATCAAGTAAAACTCAACTTTGGTGACTGAGGGAGGGGATTAAGAGTCTTGTTCCATCATGCATAAGTGCCTTAAATTTGTTCTCTGCAGCTAATGGATTTTGGATCATCTAATGGGGTTTTTCATAGAGTCCCCAAGGGGACCTGGGTGCTGACATGCCAGCAGTGAGAGCTAATCTCCCCATACCAACCCAGACCTGTTCTGTGCCACCCTCCATCTTTGGGACCCCTTCACACTAACTTTAGTTCTGTCTGTTATATGAAAGCCTCACTCCCAGGGCAGCTTATTATTATTCTTTATTATTATTTAGTTTGAAAATCAAGATAAAGTAAACCACACATGATTAGTGATCCACCTGTCCCTAAATGTGTTTAGGGTTTCCCTACTGTTGTAAACGCACACACATATACACATATCCTTCCCTATACCCTCTGCCCATTTAACTTTTTCCATCAAATAAATCTTCTTCTCATCTAGAGATAAGCCACACTCTGGAATCTCAATCAGAATTTAAGCAATAGTCCAGTGTCTCAGAGCCTGGTGTTTATACCATGTTAATCCCAACAGCTGATGAGCAGCTGTCTCAAGGACCCCTTGGCATGGCACAAGTTTCTCTCTTGTGCCAAGCAGACTGGCCTGAGCAGCAGCTGTAGAGAAGGAAACCTGTGTCTTCTCCCAGCTCCTCATCCCTGCCCACCTTACAACCTGCAACACCCAACCCTGTCCCCATCCCTCAGGGGGGGTCCCTCAGACTCAGCACAGTCATGTGTGTCAGCCAGGGCACTGCAGTTCACACCAGGCCACTTTTTCTAGCTCAGCCACAGATTACCTGGCTTTATGCCTCCTTAATTTATAAGCCTCTTTTCAACTGATACATGATGACGAATAAGGTATTCCACCCAAGGAGTAATTCTAATTAAAAGTGTCTCCAACTGTTCCCTTGCCCTGGTTCCCTCAGACACTTATACCCACACTTCCTCACCTCATACCCTTGATCACTCTGTCCCTCTCTTCCTTTCCTGTCACCACCTACTAAACTTTACCCATCCTTTAAGAACACAAAGAACACCTGGAAACCTTCCATGAACAGCCAAAGCAATCATCCCCTCTCCTGGGCTCCCAGGAGTATATAGTGAGCACTTCCTTACGCACTTAACCACACTGCTTTCCATACACCAGAAGCGAGTGTCATTCCCTAGACACATGTGAATGCCCCACCCCAGAGTGTCCAGCACAATGTAATCAATGCTCATTAAATTTCAATGGAATGAATGCAAGAGGTGTGTATGTCTATATATGTATATATACATATACATATATGTATATACATACACACACATTACTCAGATGATCATTTCTAGGGTAATCTAGTCTGGAGAAAGGGAGCAAATCTTCTAATCATCATATCTGCACAATGCTAGTGCCAAGTGTGAGGTTTATATAGTCAGCACCCAAGGATGGTTTGCTAAATTCTTTTGCTCAGACAGATGGGGCTTTAGAGAGCCGGGGGATATTCTGAGACATGTTTGCTCTGTTCCCACTCAGCTGGACTTGAGTCTGAGCAATCTTTTGATTACTTCACATCTTTCTTCAGGTCCCCTTGGCAGCTGAGCAGGGAATTTCTGTTCCCCAAACTAGCTTATTTCCACAATGAATGCCCTGCTATTTCATTTGCATGGGATATACAGCCTGTTATTGCTCTAAGTCATCTGGGTAAATGCATATTTCTGGAGCCTGGGATAGACCTAAATGACTCTAGAGAAGACTGTGATTTTGGAGATAGATGTTTTCTCACTTATTCACTGTGCATCCATATATCCTCCACAGATTTTTGTTTGTTTTAATCTGATCCAAGCCATAGAAAAAGATGGACTTACTCTTTATAGAGAACCAAGAAAAGGAACAGTTTGGCAAACCCATGATTCAATTCAATCCATTTTTGTTTTGCCCCTTTTTTTTGGTGGTGGTGGGTGGGGGAGATACTATAATTAAATTTCTATTCCCATCTACAAAATGAAAAAAAAAAAACATTTTCTGAGTTTAGAAAGATTAAATTTCTGGGTGTATACATTTTGTCTTTCAGGGGCTGGAAGAGAATAACTCACATTCTCCTGTTTCATAAATGTCACCTAAATGTCCAACATATTGAAATGGTCTCATGCTTCTTTATATTATTAAGGGGAAAAAATCAGTTCAGGAAGGAGACCAAAGCATAAAAAGACTCACCCAAGCATAATAGTGCCTTGGGGAGATGGATACAGGGAGCAGTGGTTCAAAGCATGGTAGTAGCCAGTTTTCTGCCTGAAGGCCACACAGGACATGGGGTCACTCGGCCTGGAGAACACCCCCAGTGTGCTTTCACATGTTACTCCACCACAAATTGGGTAAATGCCAGGTCCTAAGATACTGTTTTCTAGAAATCTCTATAGCTTGTGAATTTGTTGGCTAGAGTATTTTAATAAAGGAACTTTTTTAAACCTCCCTAATAATAAAGGCCCTACCCATAAATCACTTACCTGAGAAGCTGGCACATCCACTGCAGCTGGTAGGCAGACATGGCAGGAGTCTTGCTGTAGGCAGAAGTGCCAAAGGGCATCCAGTCCACCCACAGACACTAATAATACCCACAGGTGTGATACTTGGTGGCATTGGTGCTGCTGAATTACTTGCTCATAAATATTTGTGTTCCAGTTTACTGAATCCGACTGTCAAACACTTCACTTTAATTTAATGTAAGCCCTGGCATGATTTTGAGAACAATTCACCCTTTTTTACCCTCCACTTCAGGAGCACTCAAGAATGGACTCAAGAATGGAAAGAATGCCCGGACTATGTATCTGCTGGAGAAAACAGCTGTTACTTTAATTCTTCGTATACCTCCATTTGGATACCATATTGTATCAGGCTAACGAACAATGGTGGTACCGTGGATCAAAAGTGCTTCTCTGTTGAGGAAATAGGTAAATTACAGGTTTGTGTTTCATTTGACATGACTAGATTAAGTCATTGGGGAGGTCGGCGATGTCCACATGCAAGTGAGAAGAAGACTGTCGTGCTCTCCAGGTGTATGGATATCGACTGTATGGCCATGAAATCAGCTGGCAGACAAGAGAGAATAGGCAGAGAGTGCTGACTGGCTCTAACATAAAACAGTCTGGCTGTAAGTGCTGTCAAGTAAACAATGGGAGCCTCATGGAGCCTTCCCTTGAGCCATCTGTAGAGTGTTCTCTTGTAGCTTTTACTGAGGAAAAGCTCAGTGTTCTCAGATTCTTTCCTAATTCTTTGTTATGATTATTATATTCAGATCAGCTGAAGCAGTTTGCCCTTTGCTCTCTCTCATTGCTATAATGAAAGCCTACATTTTCTTTATCACAAAGCAGGGTAATTCTGGTATTTCATATTTACCAAACTGTCAAATCAGTTTAAAAATATGCTGTAAGATCCCAACACAAACATTAGAGACAATCAGCTCAGTGAAAAAGTGAAAGATCCAAACAGATTATCCCTTGTCCATCATGTGGACTCAGGGGGACTGGAGCAATATAAAATAAACATCTACAAGTAGATTGTTCATGTTTATACTATAAAAGTGTACACAGCATAATAGAAAATACCAAAGAACTCTGAGTAACTGACACCATTTTTATCCTGAGCAACTATGAATGGAGCCACTTTGTTGGAGACAGGGAAGGTAAAAGAGGGTGAGTTCTAGGGATGCAACTAGGGACTTATTTGGAGATGTGCTTAGTCTCAGGTGCTTTTTAAATATCTCAGAAGAGTTCTAAGGATGTCACATAGAGGTATCTATGAAGGTAAAGAACAGTGACAGTTATGCTTATAATAGTGGAACTGAGCCCCTCAAAAAGGAACCTGTTCCATTGTGTATATGTGCCCCATCTTCTTGATCTAGTCATCTATTGCAGCAACATGGATGGAACTGGAATGGTTCATGCTTATTGAAATAAGCCAGAAAGAAAAAGAAAAATACTGGATGGTTGCATTCATAGCAGGAGCATAGGGATCAGGGGGGAAAAAAAATCAATTGTAATAAAAATGAAAAACAACTAACAGCTATAAACCAAAGACATCTTACGGGGGTGAGAGGGAAATAGGATCAAAACTGGGGTGGGAAGAGCACACAAGACTGTGGTGATGGCACATGGGTGAAGTGGTGGTGGGAAGTCCATGGGGATGACAACCGAGATGAAAAAAAGTACAAAATGAAGAATGATATAAAAAGATAAATATAGATACAGATATAATTTAAATTTTAAAAAACAAAACAAAAAATAATAAGAAAGAATTTTTTGAAAGGGGAAAATTTTAAGATGTAATACACTTTATAAAGTTCTCATCATTATAAGATTTTTTATGTTCAAGTCACTTAAAGGGTTAAGCTTAGGTCATCAGAACTCCTCCCTCCTAACAAACACCAAGGAGAAGTTTTATTCTCATTGTTGTGCCATATGGAACTTAGTTATTGTACAAATCCCTCTACTTTAATTCACAAAAATGTGGTCATGATTCATCATTTGGACCCTCCTTATGATTTTTAAAAATCAGGGTCCACGTTTTAAAAAGGTGAACAACAGCAAACTCCCCAATCAGCTGTGTTTCCACTGAAGGTAAATGTAGGAGCTTCCTCTACAGGAAACCAGATTTTTTTTAACAGCCAGTAAGAACTCTCAGGGACCTAATTCCTCCTGCAACATGTATTTGTAGACTTACACATAGGTGGGTGTAGACATCCACCCTGGAGACTCAGATTTGAAAAAAATCTAGTAAGTAGAAAAGAAAGCATGTGGTCCTCTAACTGCAAGTGATTTTCATTTATTGGGAACTACCTAGAAATCGAAGTTTAGATATAGTTCCTAGCTTTGAAATGCACATTTCTCTTCATCCATGTTGGAGAAATTGTGGTGTTTGCTGTCATAATATGCAGAATGCAACAGATTTACCTAAGACTGTATAGCAGAAGCCAAGGAAAACACTATTTGACGTGCAATTAAGTAAAAGACAAGAAAACCTTGCATTGTCGGAGGAAGTGATCACACGTGGCTAAGGACATTAACACTGAAGAACATTTGCTGAGCATTCAGAAGACTGTACTGACACAATACAGAAATGATTAAGACAATATCTCAACACAGGACATAAAGCGTTTGGAGAAGACACAGCTTTCTCTATACCCAGTTCCAAAATCTGTATGTTTAAATCCAGTAGGTCATCTTGACTCACTTCCTTCAGTTTTGAGTTAATTCTGTTCAGAAAATCCCAAAGCATTAATCCTTTCAGAGCTAGAAGAAATATAAAGGATGGCAGGTCTTCAAGAAAAACTATAGATCAAATCAAAGGTTAGACTCAAATATAAATTTTTTTAAAGTTTTATTTATTTATGCATATAGAACTAGGGTACAGGCCAGAGTTGCAGGGACGGTGAAAGTTTTAGCCAAAGAGAGAGTGAGGAGCAGAACAGGCCGACTAATGAAGTACACTGCTGAGGGGAGCAGTGGGCAGGTCAGGAAAGGTCTGCTGTGCCATATGGGTCACCTCCAGGGCGGGGATCGAACTCGTGTTAAGGTGGCTTTAGTTTCTTAGTGCTGTGTTTTAACCTGCTGCGCCACCAGGGAGGGCCCTCAAATATGAATTTTTTGAAGCACTCTTTTGAAAGTTAAGAACAAGTTATCCTTGAGTTAAAACAAGTTAAGAAAGTTAAGAACAAGTTATCCTTGAGTTATCCTTGAGTTTGCTTATAAAGTGAGATTGTAGGAATATTGGAAGAACTAAGGGTATGAAAAAGGAAAAATGCATAGTTCGGTCTCTTCAAAAGAAAGCACTTCAGAGCATTCTCCCTGTGTCTCTCCGTGTACTAATAACCTGCTGAATTGCACAGTGCAACCTGATCCGCCCGTTGCCCTCAACTGGACTTTACTGAACATCAGTTTAACGGGGATCCACGCAGATATCCAAGTGAGGTGGGAGCCACCGCCCAACGCCGACGTCCAGAAGGGATGGATAGTCCTGGAATATGAACTGCAGTACAAAGAAGTAAATGACAGTCAGTGGAAAATGGTAAGATTAGCATAATACATCACTTGAAAATCCTTTAGCTTTTCTTCTTTTTATTTCTATAACCTCCCTCTCATTTATAATTAGGCTTTCTATAATTAGACCTAGTATGATATACCCACACTCCATAATTTATTTGAGCAAAACCAGTGTAATCAGTAGAATTTAATATTGGACGATCTTAAATTCTGTCTCACTTGGAGCTTAGATAGACATCTATTGAAGGAAAGAACTTTCCCAGTCATCCTTGTTGTCCAGGTTAACTCTGGAACAAAATCATATACTCAAACCACTGAGCTGTCTTTAGGAATGTAGTTAAAAGTTAAAAGTAGAAAGGGTTATGGTCCCTTAAAGATCTCAGAACGATATTTTCACATATATATCTCAGGGGAGAAGCACAAGAAAGAGGTATTTATATATCAGGTACTAGTTGACCTCTGAACTCATTTCCTGGCCAAGTGCACAGGAACTTGGGACTTAGATAAATTCCGTATGGCACAAAGAAAAAGAAAAACAGGGTTATCGTGCTGCTCCCAATATAACGGATTCTAAATCAGTCTAACCACAGTGACAGCCCTAGCCGATCTAGTGGTTTCTAACCGATCATCAAGTCATGCCCAGCAGCCAGGCCCAGCCTCACACCCAGAATTTTGAGACACCAGCCCTGTCCATCAGTGAACTACTAACAAAGAAACCAATTTTATCATTAGAAAAAAGTTGGAAACTTATAACAGTTAAATATTGGGCTTTAAATTCCACTTTCATTTTAATTGAGATGTCTGTTCTGTAACTTATCAAAAAAAAAAAAAGCCTATGTTTAAACAAGACTTTCTAAATTCTGTTTTTTTTTTAATTAAGCCAGACATTAAAGTGATTTGCAAAAATGTAGAACAATGTTATTTCTCTCACTGTAAGTTTGTTTTGGAAAGTATAACTTTTATTAAAATATGTTGTTTTGGAAAGTATAATTTTTATTAAAATATGTTGTATTAACATATAATCAACTTATTGTCAAGAACAGGTGTTCCCTTGCAGGCAGGTAATGGGCTCAGTGCAGGCAGTAAGGCGTTGGGAACAAATTTAAGTTTGGTATGGCTGGTATTGATACCAAATGCTGGCCTCCGTTTCCTTCAGTCAATTAAAGGGAACAGAGTTTGAGGAGAAGGAAAGCATTTTAATTTGTTGACAAACTGAGGAGAGCAGCAGATGCATGCCTGAAAGACCACCATACTACCCTTCAGCAGAGGGCAGGGGTATTTATACAAAGGACTAAAACAAAAGGGACATGAGCAGGGGTCGGCCTGTCCTTTTGATGGCCAGGCATCTGGAGATTTAGGATGGGTGCCGGCTTGTTCGGTTAACACCTGATGTTTAACTACCTTAGATGTTGAACTTAGATTATCCTCTTAGGTGTATCCTTCCTTTTCCTTAGAATGCAAAAAGACAGACTTATTCAATTCATTGGAGCGAAATGTTTGATGGGGCAAAAAGAGAGACCTGTGTGTTTCACTGCATCAGTCTGGAAGGTAGAGGGAAGAGAAAGGGAGTAATAGGTCATGTCACTGAACTCCCCTTACTGGTTTAGATTACTAATGAAATCTACAAAAATTAGTAGTGGTGAAAAATTCATGCCTTGGGAAGCATAAGCTTTAAAACAATTTTAAATAAAAATAATAAAGTAAGTTTAAGTTTCAGAATCCTGCCTTTGACAAAAGCATTTTGGGCATGCAGATATCCCATATATTATGAAGCTTCTAGAAAAGATGCGAATTAGCCATCCATGTAGACATGAGGAAAAAGAAATACTATGTGAGTAGAAATTAACTGAGGTGAAAGGAAAAATAGTTTTAGAAGCTGAAGGTTCACCTTCTGGCTTAAGAAAACAAATTATGAGAATCTTATTTACGTGAAAAATCCATGCTGTTGAAAGAGTGTTCCAAGTTTTCTGTGAACAGGAACAAAGTGTTCTACCTGAAAACACATGAAAAGCATTCATTGAATACCTGCCCTGAGTGTTTCACTGAAGGAAAACATCATTAGTTGGGGCTGCCTCTTTGATAGCAAAATGTCTTAAAAAGTCTAATTGCCTCACCCTCCCCTTTCCTGGGAAGGCAAAGAAATGTCCTGGTCTGAAGGCTGTGGACCCCTTGTTCTTTATTTATTACCAAAGGAACTCGTGATTTTTTTCTTCACAAATTTAAATAACAAACTGCTTCCAAATGACTTTGTCTTCTTGAAAAAGCAGGTAACAATGCAATTGCTTCTGATAGAATTATTTGAAGGTTTAATTAACATAATTACGATTGTGCTAGGTCCCTCTCTAATTCTGGAATCATATAGATGAGAACCCAGAATTTTTCCATAGAGCTCGATAGCTAGATACTTTGACTATGATTTGTTTTGGTGTGCAAATATGATATTTTTTCTGTTCTGTATCTGTATTCATATAAAACTGTAATATCCCAAGGGATAGACAACATATCTATAGCTTTTATAATTTGGGCATTTTCCATAATAATTTCTAGTACACTTTGATTTTAGTAGACTATTTGACAACCAACTTCAAAGATAATATAACGTTGGTTCTTTTTTTTTTTTTTTTAAAGATTTATTTGTGCATACAGAACTGGGGTACAGGCCAGAGGCTCAGGGGCAGTGAGAAGCTTCACCAGAGACAGAGTGGGGAGCAGAACAGGCAGATTGACGAAGTACACTGCTGAGGGGAGCAGCGGGCGGGTCAGGAGAGGAGAGGTCTATGTGTATCACCTCTGGGGGCGGGAATTGAACTCATGCGGAAGCGGCTTTAGATTCTCAGTGCTGTGCTTTAACCCGCTGCGCCACCAGGGAGGGCCATAACGTCGGTTCTTTTAAACAGATCTATTTGATCTTTGATCTTACACAAAAATGTGAGAACTAGTATTCATTTAATAAGATGATCATTTTGTTTTGTATTTATAGTTTTAGATGGCCCAATGCATTTAAAAATATTATCTACTTTACAGAAATTCATTTTGAATTTGAAACACCTGGTAAAGTTTATTGTGTAATTGTCCATGTAACCCGTAAATTCTATATTTTGTCTTGAAAGATGGACCCTGTGTTGTCGACCTCGCTTCCAGTGTACTCGCTGAGACTGGATAAAGAGTATGAAATACGTGTGAGATCCAGACAACGAAATTCTGAAAAATATGGCGAGTTCAGTGAGATGCTTTATGTCGCACTTCCTCAGATGAGCCCATTTGCATGTGAAGAAGGTAAAAATAAAAGATTAAAAATGTCAGCCAACATAGCTGCTGTCAATATACAAGACACATTCCTTCATTATTGGGGCTTTTTCCAGATTGAGGTATTTAGCATCATGTGCCAGCGTGAGCTCTCATTATCATGATCCATTACAAAAGTGGAAGGTTTGATTTTTTAATTACGCAATTCAAGAAAAGTCCTGGGTATGTGCAAATTAGAAAGGAGAAGAAACAGCAAGATATTAATAGGAGAGGGAGGTTAACATTATTTCAGATGACTCTTTTCTGTATAATTTTCTATTTCTAAAAATTTCTACAACAACTTTGTTTTGCTTTTACAATCAGAAAAAATTTTTCAAAAGCATAGTGAAAAAATTTGGTATTTATATGGATGAATATGTGTGGCAGCTAAGAGAAAAATGAATATTAAGTCAGCATAGGTAATCAATGGAAGTACTTGGTTTAGAAAGTTTAGGTGTGATTTTCACCTGAGAGATGACTTCATCAGTAGTGTACCAGTAGTGCAGTCCATGAATATTTAAAGAGAAGAGAAAGAGAAGAGAAATATGAAAACAATTGAAATAAAAAGCAATAAGACCTATGGTTTCAGAATAGAAGATTTAAAGCTTTTAAAGATACAGAAATATATACATATATATATGCATAGTAAGTGTAATAAAGTAAAAAAGAACATCAACTAATAGCTACAAACCAGAGACATTCTACAGGGTGGAGAGGGAACAGGATCAAAACTGGAGTGGGAAAAGCACACGGAATTATGGTGATGGCACATGGGTGAAGTGGTGGTGGGAAATCCATGGGGATTACAACTGAGATGAAAAAATGTATAAAATGAAGAATAATGTAAAAAATACATTTATAAAATAAAATTTAAAAATAAAGAATACAGAATTAAAGAAGTTTGTTTAACAATGAACAGTAAATATATAAGGTATATCACTCCCAAAATGGAAATGGTTATAGCTAACTTGGAAGGTTTAAATCCCATATGAAAAGCGGAGGTTTGTTATGAAAAAATCATAAACTATAAGAGAAATTAATGCTCTGTCTCTGCATTTAAGTACAGCTAGACTGTGACACAAAATAGCATTTAAATGAAAATATTTCATTGTTTTTTCTAAGCCCTCCATACAGACTACTTACTTCAAACAATACTTATGTAATAATTTTCTGCCTTGAAAAGAAAATTTCACCACACACTCTTTAGGCTTGTGTGATGGTATTTAATTCATTTAACATAGTTTTTTTTTTTAAGATCACTTTTTCACCATTGAGTAGTCTCACCATCATTTTTTTTTTTAAAGACTTATTATGCATACAGAACTGGGATACAGGCCAGAGGTTCAGGGGCAGTGCGAGGATTCACCAGAGACAGAGTGAGGAGCAGAACAGGCAGATTGTCGAAGTGCACTGCTGAGGGGAGCAGCGGGTGGGGCAGGTCAGGAGAGGTCTATGTGTATCACCTCTGGGACTGGGGATTGAACTCATGCGGAAGTGGCTTTAGCTTCTTAGTGCTGTGCTTTAACCCACTGAGCCACCAGGGAGGGCCCAATATAGATCTTTTTAAGTTGGACTTTCCTTCAGTGTTAAGAAAACATAAAATGAATCTCTAACTTTGTTATGTTACTGAATATGTCATTGATATAAAATTATAGATACCACAAGACCCAAATGATAGTCTCTCCCCCACTCATTCTTTATAATAATCATAATATCTCCCTCGGGGATTTTAATAAGTGAATATGAAAATTATAATAAGAAGAGTATCACAAGATAAGAGCCTACTTAGTAACAAAGTAAAATCTGATGAATTCCACCTTTCTTATTATCTCTATAGTGTGGGAACCTGCTGTAGGGCAACTGGTTGACACTTTTTCTTAAGAAATGACATATAAGTTTTCCATATTCCCCCAAGTCTGCTACAAAATATACTGAAATCTGAAGATGGAGTCCAAGGAGTGATGTTTTTCTGTCAAGGATATGTATTTGTTAAGCTGCAAGATGCATGCTCTGTGCATCTAAAACATTTCCATCATAATTAAAAAATTAAAAATTCTGCACCATGTTTTTGATGGCTCTTCAGTCTGAAGGATGAAAAATATAACCATATCTCTAAAAAATAAACCAAGTGGACCTTTGTTAGGAAAATAGTGTGTTAGTAGCAACAGTTTTTTCTTAGAACATATGCCTTTAGTGACACATCCTGGTCTGATCACTCAAGACATTTGAAGCATTTGGTTGTTTTTTTATATGTGTAAGTATGCTTAACCTTTATGATTTTTACTTTTGTATGTGAAAGGATTTGAAGAAGCAAACAGAGGAGCAACAGGAAATTCTCCTAAGCATTTCATTCTGTTCAGTGATTATAAAATGAATCACTAACTTTACTAGTGAAATACAAATTTGGAATTATTTATATGTTTAAAAAAAGTGAAATGTAAACTTAATTCTTCATAATTCTATGAATGAGATGGTGTTCTTATGTGTTTCAGATATCCAATTTCCATGGTTCTTAATTATTATCTTTGGGATATTTGGACTAACAGTCATAATATTTGTATTCATATTTTCTAAACAGCAAAGGTAGGTGTGAAATGGTCTGTTTGACTTGCTTTTACATTTGTTTAAATTCCCACTTGTGTTTCCATATGTTACAAAATATTCTTTCGTGATTCCTGAGTAAAAATTTTAACTGACCATTATAACATTATGTCTGCTTATACATTTACCAATTGATTGTGTTTCTTAAAATGAACACACAGCTATCAGTCCTGTCTGGGACATCAAACCTAAGACATTAGGAAACTGAGCCTCGTGACACAGCAGCCTGATGAACGGGAAGGGTCAGATATTTTGGATTTCAGCCCCAGCCATGCCAAGCATGATTTGGATACTTCTCTGGAATCTCTAAATCTTTTCCATAGATTAAATCAACTGCCTCCTTAGTAGTTTTAAAAGTTAAAATACAAATATCTGGAGTCAAAAATGGAGGTGTATCACAGAATTGTATGTATACATCTATGCTGATTAAAGAGAGCTCTATTTTAATATATTCCCTGTCATGACACTGGTTAATGAGATCACATTACATCATTTTATAATTAATGTGACTTCTGTGATTTGAACTGGTCCCAGTCCATCTTTTCTTGAGGCACAAATAAGTTTGATTCAATATGATTGGCTCTTCCTTCTCTTTCTTGCATTCATTCACTCATTCTTCCTTTATTATCATTTACTTATTTTTTTCCTGCAAATTACTAGTGAGGTGACCATGAAAATCACCTTTTATATAACTTAGGTAGAAATTCATTTTGGGTGAAATTAAATTTTTTTTCCCAAGTAGTAGTGCTGAATATCAATAAAAGACATTGAAGGGGGAAATGACAATAGGGAACTATCTTTTATTGAAACTGAACTCAGATAAAGGTGTTTTCTTGTTTACTTTTTATTCTTTTTTGTCTTTCCATAGTCATTATAAGTTAATACTTAATATGGTCTCCCTTTTTCTTGTGTTTAATAAAGTATCAGAATATTTAAAATAAGTAGTAGTAGTGCCAATATTTTACTTCTAACTTTCGAAATAAAAGATATTTCAAACCAAATTTTCTTTATTTTCAAGGATTAAGATGCTGATTCTGCCTCCTGTTCCAGTTCCAAAGATTAAAGGAATTGATCCAGATCTCCTCAAGGTAATTGATTAAATTATCGATAACATTAATAAAATGACTCCTGAAAAACTTCAGCTTGTAGTGAGAGCTTTTGCAAGCTCTATGCATCACATTCCATTTCTGATACTCTTTCTGGAGAAAATTCTTTTTAAATAGCACATCACTTAAAATTAGGGGAATGTCCTGTATTTTAAAACTGCACATTTTTTTCCTATTGTTAAAAAAGCCACTCTAATGTATTTTCATGGGGTTCTTAGCATATGGTTTCATTACTATTCTACTGTCACCATTAGTCTCTGAATATTGTGGGGTTAAATCACTTAATTACCTATTTCCTTAGAAATCATTATCATTTATTTTCATAGATTTTCACTTTATTTCTGTTTCCCAGGAAGGAAAATTAGAAGAGGTGAACACAATCTTAGCCATCCATGATACCTATAAGCCCGAACTCTACAATGATGACTCCTGGGTCGAATTCATTGAGCTAGATATTGATGACCCCGATGAAAAGACAGAAGGCTCAGACACAGACAGACTTCTAAGCAATGACCACCGGAAATCACTTCATATCCTTGGGGCAAAGGATGATGACTCTGGGCGTACCAGCTGCTATGAACCTGACATTCTGGAGACTGATTTCAATGTGAGTGACCTGTGTGATGGTACCTCAGAGGTGGCTCAGCCACAAAGGTTAAAAGGAGATGCGGATCTTTTGTGCCTTGACCAGAAGAATCAAAATAACTCACCTTCTATTGACGCTTCCCTCTCTACTCAGCAGCATAGTGTTAGCCCAACACAGGAAAACAAATCAAGACCAATTCTCATTGGTGGAACTGAATCAACTCCTCAAGCTTCGCATAGTCAGCTCAGCAATCTGAGTTCACTGGCAAACATCGACTTCTACGCCCAGGTAAGTGACATTACACCAGCAGGGAGTGTGGTCCTTTCTCCAGGCCAGAAGAATAAGGCAGGGACAGCCCGGTGTGATGCGCACCCAGAAGCAGTCTCACGCTGCCAAGCAAACTTCATCATGGACAATGCCTACTTCTGTGAGGCAGATGCCAAAAAGTGCATCACCATGGCCCCTCACATGCAGATGGAAACACGTGGAGAGCCAAGCTTTAACCAGGAAGATATTTACATCACCACAGAAAGCCTTACCACTACTGTTGGCAGGTCTGGGGCAGCAGAACGTGCTCCAGGTTCCGAGATGCCTGTCCCTGACTACACCTCCATTCACATAGTACAGTCTCCCCAGGGTCTGGTCCTCAACGCCACTGCCTTGCCTTTGCCTGACAAAGAGTTTCTCTCCTCTTGCGGCTACGTGAGCACAGACCAGCTGAACAAAATCATGCCGTAGCCTTTCTTTGATTCCCCATGAACTGCAAATTTACTGGCCAAGAGTTGACTGGGGCATGAATGCTTAAACCAAAACAATGTTTAAACCTGGGGGGGGGGTCGGGAGGGGTAGCTTGGGAGGGGAGATGGATTCTAAATGCCTTTTCCTGAGATGTTGAAAACATGATATTAAAAAGAAGAAGACAACTTAATCAGATAGGTATTTCCTGTTGTGAACTGTAAATATTTTAAAGACTTGTCTCAAAGACTGTTTAGTGGCAGCAATTGTCTTGTTATCGTGGGTGTTAATTTTGTGATACTAAGCATTGAATAGCTATGTTTTTAATGTGTAGTAAATCATGCTTTTTGAAAAAGCGAAATATCAGGTGGCTTTTGCAGTTCAGGAAAATTGAATGCAAATCATAGCACAGTCAGATTTTTTTTTTAATGATTGGGAGCTAAAATTATAGGTAAGAAGACAAAAAAAAGTTTGGATATATAAAACACTTATTTTGACATAAAATCGATAAAATATTTTTCATAATTTACACTTCAAGCATGGCTATTTTATATTACACTGCACACTGTGTACTGTAGTTGACCAGGACCCTTCTAAAGAGTGTAGCAACTACAGTCTGGAGCTTGGTTCCTGCACCTAAAGCAAAACAAAGAAGCAAATTAGTTTTTTATAAGGCCCTTTTTATACCTCCCCAAATGTCTTGATACTAAAATGATTATAGTTATCTGCCTTGTTAGGACATGCTTATCTTATCTGAATGTTTAAACAAATGTATGTTCATTTAGAAAATCTTAAAGTGTTTGCACACAAATCAACTTATCATAAACCAAAACAAATGAACAAGCAAAAAAACAAAAACAAAAACCGTTTTACCCAAAGTTCGGTTCATGTCAGACAACTTACAGAGAAATGAGAACTGGTTCATCTTGGCCAGGCACAGAAGTCCCAAGGCCACACCTGCAGGGTATTCTGGTGCCCACAGATCATCAGAGGGCTGTGCCCTAGCACCTGGCAGTCAAATACAACTTGGTTTATTTCAGTTACCTCTGAAGGGAATAGAGCACAAGAGGCATTTTGTAAGTTGAGGCAAACAACATGAAGTTAACCCGATAATGGAACAAAAAGGTCAAAAATGGGTTGTTTTTTTCACAGCCTATTGCCAGACTCATCATCATTATTCATGGTACCAAGAAACTGAGGAAACAGATTTTAAATCCCCACAGAGAACTCACAGTTTACTTAAGCCAACAGCAGAAACTCTCTTCCTCACCTGGTCTTTTACAGACTGTATTTGAAGTAGGGCAAGAAGCTTCATTGGTTTGTTTTGTTTTTTTTTTTTAACCCCATCTGAGAGGACCTGCCTCAAAGTAAGAAGTTGGAGGGGAGGTGGAGGGAAGAGGCCTAAGTATTTTACACATGATTTTCTAAATAACCGAAAACTCGTTCTTAGGAGCATTTTATAGCTCCCCAAATGGTATATCAAAAAGAAAAGAATCTCCACCTCACTGAAGAATGCTTCTCAGCTGAAGTACTTCGTTTTGAACGGCTAATGTAGACGTTCAAGTTAGCTTTAACTTAAATAGTGTTTGCCATTTAGCTCAGACCTGTTTAGGAAACAAGCTTGATGGTTGCTAATTTTAAATTCCCTGTTTCTTGCAAGAAGAATGGTTAAAAACACTAGAATTTGGTGTTTAAAGTTCAACATGTTACTTTGTCATAGGTGTTTAATAGATTTTCTGCTACCTTGCTGCTACGGTTTTCTCTTAAAGCTACATAATTTAGTTTCATATAAAATTTCATCAATGTGGAACCTAATTCATCTTAAAATTGTGTGTTTGGGAAAACTCTTATATTTCACAATAGACTGACAACATTTCAATAGCCAAAACTAGCTAAATACCTCAATCAGTCTCCGAATGTCATTTTGGTACTTTGCTGGCCACACAAGCCATTATTCACTAGTATGACTAGTTGTGTCCTGCAGTTTCTATTTAACTTTCATGTCTGTGGATTTTTTTCCTTCAAAGTTTAATAAATTTATTTTCTTGGATTCGTGATGGCATGCTTTCTTGTCAGACACCTGTATGAAAAGCACCTAACCAGCTTGGACCCTGTGAGTTCTTCCCATGTTGGCAGAAATGGACACATAGGCATTGGGCTGAAGACTTTCATTATTGTTGGGGTAGACAGCAGCTGAGGAAGTCGCTCCTACTTTGGACTTGGGGGGGTGGGGGTACAGGACAGGAACCCAGCTCAAACACCTTGCTGGCCTTCCCAAATTGTGCTTAGTCCTCACACTGCGAAGCTCTTTGAGTCAAGTTTCAGTACCCCAAAGTTAGTGTGAAGTATTGGGGAGGGGTTGAAGGGGGGTGGCAAGGAGAGGTGGAAATTGGAAGAGCAATACTTGAGCCTTGTCATGAAGCTACAATTCTAGCTTGAACATGTAGCCTGGAAGAAGGAAAAGCAGCTTTTCCTCTACTGTCCATGCATTATCACAAGTCAGTTGGACGGACTAGCTGCTCATCATCATGAGAAGCAGTTTATAATTAGGCCCAGGAGGGAGGCCAGTCAAGTGCATAGGGGCCTGGGAAAGTAATAGAGCCATAAAGCAGGGATCCTGCCAAGGAAGCTCAAAGCAGGTCAACTGTTAAACCCCAGCCCTTGGCTGAGAGGTGGGAATCTGTGATGGTGTTAAGAAGCCTCTTTATCTGGGGGCCAAACATTTAGTGATACTTTCAGCAATTTGCATGCAAATTCCCATGACTTTTTGTAATACTGGAGGGTTTCCGTTCAATATAGATAAGAATTTCTGCCCTGTGAGCAGCCATTACCTGAAAGAACCCAGGGGAAACCTCAGGGTCTTCACTGAGATATTGGAATGCAGAATGCCTGAACATTTATTTAAAAAAAAAAAAGCCTCGACTTTCCACACTATCTCAGAGAGTCTTATGACATTGTGGGTTATTCGTAGGGAGTGTTTCAAAACTTCCAAAAATGCAGAGCAAAAGGAAGAGGAAGAGAAAACCTGGTGAGACCTACCAGTTGAAAGAGTCCATCCTTTCTATCACAGAAAATGAATGTTTACATGTGTTTCTGTATTTAAACCTCTCAATGTTGCTACTAAAGCATAGTTAACACTAATATCTATTCATATTCTACCAGCTCTAAAATATTTACATATTTACATAGTTTTATATCAAAATATTAATTCCAATGTCTTTTCATGTTTTCTATTAAGCATAAGATATAGGGGGGAAACTAGAAGTCATTTAAACTCTTTTGTTCAGAATCCAAAATCCCACATAATTTGCCCAATCTCATTTGCTAGAGAATAATATGATCTATGTATAAAGGCAATAGCGTCTGAATAAGAACTTGACCTTTGGCTATCAGTCAAGCTGTGTTCCCTTGAACATTTAGGCTTATGATGTCAACTATGTTACATAGGCAAAATGACTCATGCGGGATGATTTCTCCCATCCAGGTGTGATGAAACTCTGGAGATACCTGGAGGTAAGCCACACTATGGGCTTAAGTCTGGTGACTCAACTGTAATAAGCATTTTGCTCTGAAGACACTGGAAGCCGGTGAAGCTGTAATGAGAGCTAGGCTCCAGTGGGACATCTGGGCTTTTAAGCTCAGGAACTCCATTGTCTACCCAGTATGAGTGTCCTTCCCTGGCACCTGAGATGTCACTGGATGAGGAAGGAAAAGTACAGGGCAGATGTATGTAAACTATTCTGTAGACTGGTCTGTAGATTGTCGCCTCAGCTACAGCTATAAAGCAGGTATCTAACGCTGCCCTGTGCTACCTCCTTCCTGGCCTGCATTTTCCCAAGTAATCGGGGCCATGGGTGGGTCAGGTCATCAGATGAGCCTAAGAAGATCCCCTTGAGGATGTAGCAAGAGTTACTTGCCACTCCTTGAACAGTTTGTGCTTTCTCAGCTGCATGCCCTGGTTCATGCCTCTTCCTCTACCTAAATTGCTCCCACCTCACAGTCCAGCCTATCAAAATTGCTCTCATCCCAAAGACCCAGCTCCAGTGTTTCCTTCAGAGAGTGGACATCCCACCCCCAACCCTGAACCACTTCTAATGGTGTTTATCACACTCTGGTTGTCAGCTCACCTAAAACCTTCCTAGATTTGGTTCACCAATGTGTATTCTGGGGCACAGCTGTTCCCTGAAATATTTCTGAATGAATGATTCTGCCATAAAATAAGTTTGGAAAATGCTTTATACTACATCTTCCTGTGAGAGCCAGAATGTATAATGACATTTGAAAGCCTCTATAGTAATGTATATTAGATAATTTCTACATGTCATTATACATACTAACTATATATTTAAAGCTCCCAGTTTATTTAAGAATGAAAAAATAGCTACCCATTTTTATATCTATAAACACAAGGGGAAAGCTTCTCTAAGAAAGGTAACTAGCATACCTGGCACAAAATAATGGGATAATGAATCTTAGATGAATGTAAATCTGCATGAAGCAGCTTTATGCGAGGCTGTAAAACTCACTTTTAAAAAAAATTCACTTTCTTAATAAAACTTCCTAAAAAATAAAGTCAAAGCAGCTGTGTGATTAAAATAACCACTGGGCCTTCCTGGTGGCACAGGAGTTAAAGGCACAGCACTATCAAGCTATCACAAGGAATCCACAGCCAGGGAGCTCACCCACATGGATGGCACAGCAGACCTTTCCTGTCTCACCTGCTGCTCCCCTCAGCAGTGTATTTCAATACATCTGCCTGTTTTGCTCCCCATTCTGTCTCTGGTGAATCCTCTCACCACCTGCACCTCTGGCCTAGACCCCAGTTTGTGTCTGCATAAATAAGCTTTTTTTAAAAAAAAAAATAATAACCACAAATTCTTCTTAACTCAGGTACATTATTTTATTTTTTCATAAGTGGAATGACATTTTTCTAAAGCTTGAATGTTGAAAGGCATTCATTATCTTCTCTGTGACAGTGACTTTCTAACTCCTGATTGAAACAATTGAAATGTCCCATCCCTTTAAGCCAGAAGACTGGAGAGAACCATTAACACATGGGGCTTATCAGCATAAATTCTCAATATCATTCAGTA